CCAGCAAGGGCTGGGTGTGATTCCTCAGGCCCAGGCTGTTAGTGAGGACTTACTTTGAAAATTTGTCTCCTTTCTTGTAAGCTGAGTAGATTTTGACTGGAAAACACTGACACTAAAGAGGTAGAACTGTCTTCATAGCTCAGTGACACTTTTAGTTCAAACACATGAAACCAAACCCCCAAGTGTAAGAAGGATGGTAACGTGGTACTTAAACACGATTTTTAGAGAAGCTCTTAAAGCTGCAAAGGTTATTAACCACCAGAAATCTTTCTCTTAATATATATAAAACCTGGTTTATATGGAAGGCCTTAGGTGTACTTGAATTTCAAACGCCTGGGTTGTTTTATTACTTTACTGATCTAATCAATGCAGGTGTTTCATAGCAAAAGCACACAAGCAATGAGGCTGTCTGAGGGCAGGGGGTGCAGTCGGTGCCTGTCCCGTGGCTGGCTGTGCCGTGGGACGTGGCACAAGGCGCTGTGCCCTGCCGGCACAGCTCGCCGCGGCCAGCCCAGCCAGGGACCGTGCCATCTCCCTGTCTTTACCAAGATCAAATGGAGCTACTCAATCAGGGGATGCCATTATTGCCTCCACCATGCAATTTCCACTATCAATAATTTACTGTATTTGCTGCGCGGGCAGAAGGGGGGAAACGGCCAGGCAGATTTTTGACAAGGGGTAGGGAATCCACCCCGCGGGCGGCGGGGCAGAGCCGAGCAGGGCGTTTCTCCCGAGATCCACGGGCTCCGCGCCCGCCCCCGTCTCCTCCGGCGGGCGCTGGCGCTGCGGGCGGCCCCGCTGTCGGTCCTGGCCCCGGGCCCGTCCCGGTGCCGGTGCCGGTGCCGGTGCCGGTCCGGGCAGAGCCCCCTCGGGGCCGCCTCGGGGACTTGAGCGCCCGCTGCGCGCCTGCAGAAAGTCACCGGTGTAACGTAACCTGGGGCGCTCATTAATAAGCAATGCCTGTTATTATCTTGATTGCATTCTTAATAGGCGAACTACGGAGAGGTCAGCGCGGGAGCGATATTTAAATAGATCGGGCTTGCTTAATACCCGGCGGAGTAAACCAATATCCCGCCGCTGGCGGGCGAACAGACACCCACCCCAACCCCCCCCGCCCCGCTCGGGGGGCGCCGGGGGAGCGGAGCGGAGCGGAGGGGAGCGGAGCGGAGAGGGGCTGGGCGGGCGGGGCGGGGGCGGTGGCGGGGCCGGGAGGCGGTGCGGAGGCTCTAAGCGGGGCAGCGCGGTGCCTGCGGCCGCCGCTGGCCGGGGGCGAAGCCGCTCGGCGGGGAGGAGGAGGAGGCGGCGGGGCTGGGCCGGGCCGGGCCGGGAGGCTCCGGTTGGGCGGCGGGGAGTGGGGGATCTGGCTCCGCTGCCCTCCCGCCCCTCATAAAGCTTTGATGAGACACTTGAGACGCCGCCTGTGTTGCCGAGGCGGCGGGAGGTGGCCGGTGGGACTGGGCGCCCGGGAGAGGATGTGACTTCCCGGAGGGGACCCGGACAGGCTTTGTGTGGACGACAAGGTACGCGGCGCCCCGCCAGGAAACTTGGAGGGGCCGGGGCCCCGGCGGGGGGTGGGTGGGGGTGCGGGTGGCTGCGGGGCCGCCGGCTGGTGAGAGGCGTCGGGGAGTGGGAAGGGCGCGGGGGGTGGGGGTGCCCGGGACAGCCCGGGCCCCTTTGTTCCCGCACCTGCCGGCCCGGCGGGGTTTTCCCGTTCCCATTCCCGATCCCATTCCCGATCCCGATCCCGGGAGGGCGCGCGGGACCCGCGGGCGCTCCCCCGACGGCGGCGCGAGAGCCCCGCGCGGGGCGCGGCGCGCGGCCCCGGGGCGGCGGGGGGCGCCCCCTGGCGGCGGGAGCGCGGCGGGGCCCCGGCCCCCTCCTCGCTCCTTCCCTCCTTCCCTCCCTCCTTCCTTCGCTCCTTCCCTCCTTCCTTCCTTCCCTCCTTCCCTCCGCCGGCTGCGGGGCACGGCCCGGCCCGGCCCGGCCGCTCAGGAGCCGTTCCGCGGGCAGGGCCGGGTCCGGGCGCCGCCCCGGCGCTGGCGGGCGAGGTGCCGTCAAGGGAGGGGCGCGATGCACTTGTTGAAGCTGGACCGTCGCTGGAATGTGAAGCACGCCGGGCACCCTCGCCGGGAGCCGGTGCCATGGGCGCCTCGTCCTCTGCCTCTCCCGCTTGCCCCGTCCGCTGGGCGCGGGGAGCCCGCCGGGAGGGGAGGAAGGAAGGAAGGGAAGGCGGCGCGGGGAGGGAGCCCGGCGGTCTGAGCGGCTGGAGGCGCCGGGCGCGCCGGCTGTGGATTCACATCGGGGGGTCAGACACTCCTTCAGCCGGAAAGAAACGGGTTAAATGGTAAAATTTGGTTGGCGAATCTGCAATTGATACTTTGGAAACCTCGTGCTGTCCCACTGAATATTTTTTTTTTTTTTCTAGAATTCAAAGAGTGAGGTGTTACAGCTGTGGGTCACGCTCGCTTTGCTTGTTTGATTTTAAGAGGTGTTGATGGTGTCTTGGTTTGTACATTCCAGTTAAGATATGTCCTTTTCCTCTCAGTTTATTGTAGTTTGCTGTTCTGAGGTTATGCAAGATCAATAGTCATTATTTATTTATGTTTCTAGTAACACAGTTCTAATGAATGCAAAGAATCTATCCTGGCAATACTTTTTTTTTTTTTTTTTTTCCCCAGCCAGTATTTCTGTAATCTTTAATTCATGGTGATAAGTACTTAAAATGAATTTCCTTGGTTGTCTGTAGATACGAGCAAAGGGCTGGGTAATGAGCCACCTGCTCGTGGGTGGGAGGAACTCTCACATCACCGGGTTTGAGTGGCTGGTCGTGCAGAAGCGAAGGGTTTCCTCTGTTTGTGCATGGGTGGCTGTCCCGAGTGAGAAGGTCGTCGCATCGTCCTGCTCTTTTGTGTTTCGGGTGGTGCCCTGGTGCGAGTCGATGGCTCCGCTTGCAGAGCCGGAGCGCTGCCTGCAAGCCTTTGGGTGAAAGCTTGAGCCCAGTGATGGCCCAGAGTTAACTGGATGTAGAAGACAACACAGGCAGAGGGGACGCTCTTGGCTCTGTGCGAATGCTGTGGTTTGGCAGGTGAGAGGAGGCAGCAGCTGCCGGGGGGACACCACGGCTTCCTGTGCGCGGAGCGGCCGGGCACGGGCTGTGTAAACACACCTGGGCAGAGGGAGAAGACAAACAGTGATGTTCTGCGGGAGCGAGCGCTGTCCCTCACCTTGGTCTCAGGGTAAGGCAATGGCTCTGTTTTAACTCTAAATTACCTTGAAGGAGCTGGTAGATGTTTTAGCTATTTACTTAATAGGACTGGATATAGGAGCATTTCTACAGGGCTCTGTAACTCACAACAATTTTCTGCTGTAGTACTACCACTTAATGTTCAGCTTCGCTGAACCTCGGCTGGGAAAACCCATATGTAAGCAGTGTGCCTTCTGTTCATGTTGCCGGTGCTCTCTGCTTTCCGGAGCTGCAGGGTAGATCCTGTTGTTATATGGCTGTGAAATCAGGGGTAAACCAGGTCAGAAAGATGAAGAACATTTTTTTTTTTTTTAATCTGAATAATGCAGATATAATGGTGGAGGAAAATGGGGAAAGGACTTTTATCTTGGAGGGAGTAGAACTAAACTGAAAAAAAAAAAAAAAAAAGAAGTTTAATTTCGAGCAGCATGCTTTTAGCACCAAGGCATTGTGTTGTAACAGTAGTGCTATGGGAGTACTACAGTGTGCTGGAATACTACAGAATGCAGTGCACAGACGCAAAGGGTTTTAAAGACTCGCTAACATGTGAAAGAATAGAGGGGGAAATAAGGTCCTGGTGCTTCTGCTTGAAAGCTTTGCGTACAGTGACAGTGCCGAGCTGAAAGCAGCTTCAGTTAAAAGTCCTTGCAGTACCTGTAGCACTGTGTGCAACTGTTCCTCTGGTGTTGCTGTCAGGAAAACACAACAAGCTGCCTGTTTTACTCAGAAGGTGATTCTCTGGGGGGAGTGCAGATACAAAAGCAGGTCACAAGTAACTTGGAAGCAGGAGAGCCTCTCAGCCCTCCTATGGGTAAGCACTGCATGAACATGAGAAACAATTCACTCAGTGACCTGTGTAGTAAGTGTGATCCCATACCTGCCTTCCTGGTTTGTATAAAAGGCTGAAAAGTTGTTCTAAGAACGTGCCCTGTGCCTACACTAGAAATCTCGTGTTAGGCGTTGTGTGAATTGGTGGAGGCTCCACTAGAAAAGGATATGTGCTTTTAATAGGTTAATTGCTAACTTGTCTTGACCTGTTTTGAAGCATATGTTGCGAGCACTCGGTTCCTCCTAAATAGCTGAAATGCTGCTTAATTGGGAAACTCTCAATCATTTCTTAGATCAGCTCATACACTGGCATTCTTGGTAGTGCTTAGCTGTAAACACCCTTTAAAAGGAAGCTTTTAAAAGGCACTGAAGCCAAGCTATTTTTGTGTGTTGCTGAAATGAAGTGTTATAACTCAATAACTTACTGTCTTCGGTTCCAGCTGGGGAGGTGCTGTGTGTAACAACTCATGTTTGCTGTGATGCACCATTGGGAAGCAGCACAGGTGTGTAGTGAGTGAACTGCCTAATGTATTGGGATGGGGCTGGTAGGCTGTGCTGTCTGTCGACTCACAAATCCCACTCTTCCCTTTCCTTATCCATACCTACTATTCAGTCTTATCTTTCTTTGACTGCAGGTTCTTTGGGGCAGGGGCAGCCTTGCCTGTCTCCTCTTCCTGGTACCTGACAAGGACTTATCAGTACTCTTGTAGTTCAAACAATAAACAATAATAGATTTTGCTGTGCAGTGCGTACAGACAGCTCTGCTGTGATCCCTTAAGCTTGCATGTTACCAATTCCAGGCTCTGAGCAGTCCAGGGGGGAATACTGTTTGCAGGAGTTGTCCATGTGGAACAGGACAGTCGTAGGTAGGGTCAGGCTCAGCCTTTCCTCTGTTTCAACATTCAAGACCTAATTACTGAGAAACTGTAGAGTGGTGGGGTCCAACTGCTGCACCCAACAGCAACAATGAGCATGGAGCAGTCTGAAATACTGAGAACGCCATGGACTTGACTGAACAGGAAGAGCTGTAGCACCAGAAAGCCAATCCCATCTCAGGCACAATTTCTACCCTTTATAACCAGCGAACAGAGTGTTGGCTGTGAAAATATCTGACTTGATGTGATTCTGATTCTCGTTAACACTAATCCTAGTGGTAGCAGAATGTCCCATTACAGCCATCATGAGCTGATACAGCGTTCTGAAGATGAGCACCATGGACAACCAGAGGAAGCAAAAGGAAACTTCCTTCAGGGATTTTTTTTTTTTTTCCATGCCCTGGTGACAGCTACCGTAAGGCTGTGGCAGTTGTATACTTTCCTTGGTAAGAATATTGTATTTTTCAGAGAAGTCATTTTCTGAAACCAGTTAATTAGGACAGTTATTTCTGGCCGTGGCATTTGTAGAGAACAGAAGGCATGATTGTTCTTATATTTGTTTCTCTGAGTCCTTTGATCGACTAGAAGCTCTCGATGCTTTACGCTATAAATTACCTCAATCCTTTGGCAGTTCATTTCTTTTCTTGTGTACTTGGTTAGGAAAATGCAGAAATCCTTGTGACTCAGCTACAGACTACTATAAATTATGAAGAAATGGGGGAGGGGGTCACATTTCACATTAGGAAAGGCAATTCTAGGAGGATGGGAGGAATACTGGTTGCTAAATTTGAGATAAGCATCTTATGGTATCTCAAAATCTGAGCAGCTACTGCCACCTAGAGATGCACGAACCACACAGGCTGCTCGGGCTGGCTCTGGCAAAGGAGCCTGCACCATTAAAATGAGTTAATCCCAATCCTTCTCCCTCCTTAGTACAAGTTTAGTGTATGAATGAGAGCTTTTTTTAGCCCTGCAACTGAGGTGTTACCTGGGAATCCTGTTCTAGAGATTCAGGTAATTAAGTTTTATACAGTCTGACTTGAACAGGTAAACAAGAAGCATCACTTTCAGTAAGAAAGTATTTGCAAGTCAAATGTGTACTGGTTTGGTACAGCTGTTGGTGAGACTGTATAGCCTGTCTAAAGGCTGCACAAATAAAATGCAGTGTAGAACTAGTTCCTGAAGGTTTTGAGTTGGGTTGAAGGTAGGTTTGTTCCCCATCCCATTGTTGAGGTCTACTTGTCAGGGTCTGTCCTTTAATAAATATTTGGTGGACTAGAAAAAACGTCCTGATTTTTCATAATGTATCGACTCAGCAGCCTTTAGGTTGGTTTCAGTAGATTCATAATTTTCTCCATTTAAAAATTGAGTATCAAAGTTGAGTACATATTGAATATTTGTTGCTCCCTCAAATCTAACAACATGGAATGCACTTGTATCTGCTCTTTGGTTCTTTGTTTTGAGCCCAGAGCTTCTGATTTTTGTTCTGTAGATCAACCTGCTATGGCAGGTCCTTCCTCTGCGTTTGAGAGAGTGCTGTTCTGTATTTAATTGGTGGAGAACTGCTTACAGAGAAAAACAATGCATCTCTTTTACCCACTGAACTCACAGTCTCATGTGCAATTATTTATTTGACTCTTGGAGACACAGCATGATTTGGGGGCTTTCATAGTGACTGCTAACCCTTGGCTGTCAAATGCCCAGTGGAGTAACAAAACCAAAGCAACTAAACCTGGAGTTGACAAGCCACTGGTTGACTGCATGTACTATATAACTTTCCATGGGATGGATTTTTCAATTTCTTAAGATACTTTAGGTCTGCCAGCGTAAAGTATAATGGGGTAAGATCTTAATGCATAACTTCTTAGGGAGTAAGAGTTTTCCTGTGGGAAACTGAGGAGCTGTGATCCGGGGATATTTGCCACAAGTCAGGAGGCAACTGCAAACTGTTTATACCATATCAGGGTGCATGAGAGCTGTTGTACCAATCTGGAGTTTGCAAAACTGCTCTTGGCTCACTGGAGTTCCACATCAACCTCAGCCTTTCCTGTATGTGCACTGAGCTACAGGTAGGCTTTACATGCATGTAGCATAGAGGAGGAGCCTGGATAAAAAATTGAGCTATGCAAAATCTTGAGCAAAACGCTGTAATGTGCTCTCTGCTACTTCAGCAAAAGACTCATGCCAGAATTCTGTAGTACATATCTTTTAGAAGTGAGTTAAGCTTAATCTTGCGCCTTATCTCATGTGATCTAAACACTGCTTTCTTTAAACATAACAGCTTTTGGAGAAATGAAGTTTTGTGTAGATCAAGGAATTAAAGGTTGTGATCTCTGGATTCCTGAGTCCCTTATGCCATTTACTTTCTAAGCTTGGTGCAGCATTCAGTATCCATATGGTTTGGTTCATCCATCTTTACCCTGACCATGACGTTCTTGCTGAGTGTTCAGTACTCGATACACTGAGCAGAAAAGGAATTAAATCTAAACTTTATTCAAAGGCTGAGTTAGTAAGTAAACCAATCACCTCCCCCCCCCCCTTAGCCACAGTTGTCACTGCACACAGAAGCGTGTGGACGCTGTTGGGATGAGTGACAGGACTTGCTTTGCAGTATTTCTAGGTAATTGTGCCTGCTGGCTGCCTCCATTAAGACTTGGATCTTCACTTGCTATTTACATTCCTTCTGAGTTGATAATCCAGTTTGACTGAGCCGTAAATGCCAAGAGAGAAATGCTATTTGATAGAATTCGTACCGAAAGCCAGTGTGAGTCCAAGGGGGAAGCAAAGTCACTGACAAGTTCAAGCTGGCAAACGGGTGACCTAACCAGAATCCATGCCAGGAAACTGTGGGGAAGTATGAATGTGCTGCTGAACATCATGACCATCCTTTGTTTTTGTAATTGGTCGAATCCAAACTAGAAATAAACACATCTGAAGTTTTCAATTTTTGCTTTTCCAGACGAAAACATTATGGTTTGTGTCAATGTAATGATTTTTTTTTTGTTGTTGGTGGCAGCTTGTGTCTCGCAGATGAAGGAGGATTGTTTTTATTTTACAGGGGGCAAAGAAGGATGTTTCACATGGCATTGCAGCAGCAGGGCACTCACTGATGGGGTGTTGGCGAGTTGCTGCCAGGGAAATGGTGCAAAGAGAGAATATGCAGGTGCATCTTCACATCTCACAGAAACGTGTATTTTGTGTAATGACTTGCAAAAGAATCTCTGAAAATGAGTTTTCCTCTTAGAAGCTAATGTTTGGCACGTGAATTTAAAACAAAGAATAAAGCTGTCTTCCCTGAAAGACTCATTTTAAGTCCTTTTCCAGTTTTGAACTAATGAAAGATTGCTGCTGCCCCCTGTTAAAAACTTTTCTGCCACTGAAACTACAAGAGTAGGAGGACCGTCACCAGTGAGCAAGGATGTTGCAAAAGGATGTGAGTCAATTCCACACGCCCCCATTTAAAAATAAAATAAATAAATAATAGTGTTTAAGAAGAAACTGGGTAGAGGACTAAGCCTCCAAAAAAGTTTACCTTTGAGACTGACAAACCTAGAGGCAACATTTTGAATTCCATAAGCCTCAAGCATGAAGTCATATGACTGGATTCTTAACCTGTTTTGTTCAACATGGATATTGTTGTATATTTTTTTTTCTCCTTGCTCTGATTCTTGTAACTGTTATGAAACTTATAGACTCTTGTGCTTGGAAATACCGTAAATCATTTCCCCTGCCTTTAGCTAATGGAAGGACAGGACAGGTATGCAGTGAGAGCCAGAAAACACAGTAAATAACTTCCATGTCTACTTTAAATTAAACACTTTGGAGCAAGTCTTCAGTCGCAAAGCACCACCCGACCTTTGTTAATATTCAAGTTGCACTCACTAGAAAATGGCTGCAGGGGAACTGCTGATGCTCTGCATATCTTGTAATTAGTCGTGTTCAGGCATAGTTTTATTGAGGATAGTCCTGAGCCATTGGTATTTTAACAGAAGAGATGGATCTGGGGAGATGCATTGGAAAACAAGATGACCAGAACTCTTTTTGGTTTTTTTTTTCTTCTTTTTTTTTTTCCTCCCTTTTTATTGTTTTGATGGTGATGGTGCTGCTACACTGGCTTCATCCCCTGGAAGTGCTGGACATCCATACTACAAGTAGGCATGGCCTTTCTCTTCTTGTTTTGTCCAACTTAAGGCTGATCCTTGGTCCCTGGAAAGCTGCCTGGTTTGTGTTTATAGGGCTGGTAGGTCCCTAGTTGTGCAGTGGTACTTCTCCATGGGAATAGGTCTTTCCTGAATTTCCTAGTAAGTTTGCTGCAGGTAAAAGCAGCCTCTGGATGAGATGGGAACTTGTGTTGCATTTCAGTCAAACTTCGTAGAGGTTTTAATGGTGAAGAATATTAATGTTTTGTTTTCCTTATTGTTCTTTGTTATGTGATGGTTGAGCCCACAAACTGGGAGCGTGAGGCTGAAAGCTGAAGAATGAAAGAAGAAACAGAAAAGCCATATGGCAATAGCAGGAGTTCCTGCCACCCCACCTTAGGCTCGTGACAACATGCCCTACATTTAACCTACAGTCAGGAACTAATTAACGACACAGATGGAAGTGAGCTAGCATATGTATTCCAAATAATACCCCTAAGGTTTTAATCAGCCTCTTTCTGTGTTAGACATCTAAGTTACCATAGAAAGACTTGCAAAATATGTGGGTGACACACATGGTAAAGACAGTTTTGTGCAGTGGCTGAAGTGAGGGATTGGGGCCAGGGGCTCTCCTGCTCTCCTCTGGTTCAGGAGCAACTTGCTATGCAATCTGGGGGTAAGATGTTTAAACATATTTGTGGCCCTCAGGCTACCCAGAAGGAAAACAGGGTTTCTGATGTGGTTCCTCCTCACCTAAGCGTGTTGAGATTCAGCGTTTGCAAAGCACTTTGGAGGCTTTGATAGTGTGTTCTCCAAGAAATGTTCAGCTGGAGAGTCACAGTAGCATTAAGTACCAGATCTCTCAGCTTTTGCAACTTTTTATCTCTGTAGCTACTCCTGATCTCTGGCATGACAGCTCTGCTTTTAATTTTGAATAGGGTGGTGACTTTTAGGTAGTCTGTTCTGTTGTGGAGGTACTTGGGAGGGGGAGAAGAGAACACTTAGTTGTTTCCAGCAGACTAATTGGGTAATTTAATGTTTCTTGCTTTAACCTTCTCTTTCCTCCCCCACCCCCAGCTACTTAAAGAGAAGCCATCCTTCCCTGCAGGGTAGTAGGATCTGCTTACGTGAAGGGACAGGTATTGAAGTTTTTTAGAGAACTGTTTATTTAATGACTGAAATCTCATATACAAACCTACCCTTTGGAGCTTAAGGGCTCTTACAGTGAGAACTCTGCTGGCAGCAAAGCCACTTTCTTCAGTGGGGGGGGTTGTGCGTGAAACAGGACACCCAAGTGAGGAACATTA